GCCCCATCTCAGGACTCCGCAGGCCCTACGGTCAGGCCCCTTCTCCGCGCTGAGCGTGTGGGAGTGCTGCCGCTGAGAGCGTGGCGTGCGGGAGCTCACTGAATCCGCACAGCAACCCGTGGGGCACCTGCTGTATGTCCTCCTGGAGGGACGCAAGACTGAGGCACCGAGTGACCTGCTAGTCTAGCCTGTTACCCGGTAGAGCTGACGCCTGAACCCTTGTTATTGGATGTCGGAGGCCGGATTTGCTAAAATACATGTGTCTGGGATCTGCATGAGACCGACTGAATAAGGATCCCCAAGGGTACAGCCTTCTCTCAGAAGTTCACTAAATGTGCTGCGCCGTGAGTGAGTGCCTGGTTACGTAAATCCTACCCACTCTAAGTCCTGCTCACTTATCACCCTGCTCACATATCCTCCTCCATGACTCAACACAGTGCCTAGCACACAGTAAGTGATTAATCAATGCTTATTGAAGAAATTGATTAAATGAATGACTTCCCCTGCTAAAGTCCCAGCAGACTCTGAGCTCCTAAAGCATTTACTTGCACTGACTTTCACTATTAGTGTATATGTTTTGCTTCCTCAACTAATTGTGGAAGCAGGAATGGTTTCATTAGTGCATCATTTCATTATGTGCAGGGAGGGATTCTTAGGCTTTTATAAGATCCACAAAGACTTGCCCTGGCTGAGGACTTAGAGCCCAGCCTGTGCAAGGAAGGATTACAATAACATTGTAGCAAACACTGCTTATATTAAGAATGTTCCCAACGATAGAATTCTTCATCTCCACTCCCTTTTCGCTAAAATCTAGCACATATTTTAGCTGCATGGTTCTATATTCTTTTGTGTATCTGCTCTCTGTCCTAGCCCCATTCTTCAGTCACCACTTTAGGTGCTGCTCCCAACTGCCAACTCCAGGTTCTGAGCCCCAGCCCACAAACTGGGGTAGCCAGGATGCTTGGAACAAGGATTGGTGGGTAACTCAGGGTAGTTAATAAGGTGGAGGGCCAGCTTTAGGCAAAGTGGTTTTCAGAGGCTCTGGCAGTCCTTAGATGAAGACATGCCACAGAAGCCAGCTGGGGTCAGACAAACTTGTCCCAGGGTCTTGGTCTCCTACTAGCTGTGTAACCGTGGGTAATTCAGTGATCTTTTCCAAGCCTAATGGCTCACATGCAAAAGGGGATAAAAAAGCACTTTTTCATAGCATTGTTGTCAGGGTTAGTTGAACTAATGAAATGTAAATGCCTGATATCCTACCTGGCACAGTCAACATAACCATTCTTCCTATCCACTTTAGAATTATTGTTGCTCTCCATTCCATCTCCTTCACTGTCACCATGATTTCTCTCTTCTTCATGTAACCCAGGGCACATAGGCATTTGCCAGCCTCCCTACCTAAATTAACTTTCTGGAAAGAACTTCATAAGTATATTTATACCAACAATAACAGGACTAACATTGAAAGGAAATGGTGATTACCAAAAATAATAAAAAGCATTGCTACTTTTTGTGAATTTTATTGAGGTATAATTTGCACATGATAAATTCAATTCGATGAGTATACAATTTCATGGGTTTTGACGAACGTATACAGTGATTTAACCAAAACCACAATCATATTTCTATCATCCCGGAGTTTCCTTATGTTTCTCTTCCTAATCCCTGGTCCCTGTCAATTACTTAATTATCTGCCTTTTATCACTATAGTATTGCATTTTCTTTTAGATTATACAAATGAAATTACACATTATGCTGTCTTTTGTGTCCAATTTTCCCCCCCACTAACTATACTGATTTTGAGATTCATCCATATTACCATGTACTGGTAATTCATTTTTATTACTGAGTAGTATTCCATTGTATGAATATAGCACAGTTTGTTTATTAGTTCATCAGTTGATGAACTCTGGAGTTCATTCTAGTTTTGAGCTATTATGAATAAAATTGCTATGAACAATGACTGCAAATTCTGTGGTTGAGGAATCCAAGAGTAGGTGGAAGCTACATTCACCTGCTCCCCGCCCCAAACCAGACTTACAGCTAAATTATAGAACAGCCAACCTGAGTAACCAACTGAATGCTAGCTGAACTGAAATATAATAACCAAGGGTTTACAGAAGAAGTCACATAGAGACTGGAAAGAAGGGCAGAAATGCAGAAAAGGCTAGCCCTCTATACTCAGGTGTGGCCTGGTTGAGAAGCTGGAGGGATATCATGGCGGCAAAACTCCATCCCACTTGGAGCATGGGGTCTCAACCCCACACAGGGATCCCCAACTCAGAGCAAGAGAGATGGGAAGAGGAGCCACATAACATCTGGTGGTGAAAATCAATGGGGATCCAGTCCCCCTGGGAGACCCAGACCCAACCTTCCCAGGGACAAGCGCTCCAATTGTTACAGCACCAGCCTGGGGAGTGCACTGTCCAGTCTCTGACTGCTGGCAAGGCCACACTGCCATACTTGGGTCCTGTGGAGAGGTCTGCTGTCTGCACCCAGCAGTGACGTTAAGGGGCCCTCTTTTTCTGGGGAGGTTTTTGGCAGAGACTCAGACAGTGACTAAACTGTTTGGCTTGGGAAAGAGGGCCGGTCTCCTCAACCTTAAGCGCACAGCTGGCGCCCCTCCAGCTACCTGTTAGATCACTTGCCAGGCTTGTCCTGCTGAGTTCAGCAGCACGGGGGACCAAAGTGCTGCACAGAGCTGGGACTTTCAGACTGCGTCTCCCAGGGAAGCTGTTTTTTTATTGTCGTTGCTTTTTCTTTAATTGATTTTAGAGAGAGGAAGGCAGGGAGAAACATCAATGTGAGAGAGAAACACCGATAGGTTGCCTCCCATACATGTCCGGACCAGGGATCGAATCCGCAACCTGGGTATGTGCCCTGACTGGGAACTGAACTCACCACCTTTCAGTGTACTCCAACCAACCAAGCCACACAGGCCAGGGCTCCGGGGAGGCTTTTGTCCAGGAACCAGACAGGCAAGTGCTGGGGTGTATGGCTACACTGTATATGTGCGGTGGCAAATCCAATTTCCCCTGGAAGTTCAGCTCATACTACCCTGGGGAGGGGAAGAAGTGCCTGCCTCCCTGCTTCAGCCTTGTGGGCACCACCCCTAATGGGTGACTGTTTGAATCAACCCTGCCAAGTCCCAGATACACCACCCCACTGGGCTCAGTTCTTTGAGGGGAAGGGTGAGTAGCCCAGAGTTGGGACATTCAAAGTGTGAGACCCTCAGAGGATATTGTGTAGGACCAGAAGGAAGTGCTTAGCTCTCTTCTGCAGGCTGGGCCAGCATCACCCCCAACAGGAGACTCTTTTACTCTATCCCCCCCTAGCTTGCTTTTTAGAAGGGATGGAGGGTTGCACTCAATATGAACCTGCAGTAAGCCCCTCTAGGGGGAACAAGAGTTGGAGACTCTGGCAGAGACTGAGTAGCTAGGCTTTGGAGCAGGGGCCACTTTCCCCTCATTGAGTGCTTGAGTGTGTGATCC